AATCTATTACAGTCAAAATTGTATTTTTTTTTTAAATGTACACTACTGTTACACCAAATATGAGTGGCACTGGTGTGACACTGTGCCCTGGCAGGCCCTGAAACGCACACGTGTGAAGGAAACTGACTGCTATTATATTACAGTCCAAAAAGTTTTTTGTTTTTTTTAAATGAAAGCTATTGGGACACCAGTGAGTGAGTGGTGGCACTGGGCAGGCCCTGAAACGCACACTCGTGAAGGAAACTGACTGCTATTATATTACAGTCCAAAAAGTTTTTTGTTTTTTTTAAATGCAAGCTATTGGGACACCCAGAGGCGGCTCTAGACTTTATGAGGCCTTAGGCGAAACTCAAACATAAGCCTCAGCATCACCACTCTAAGCCTCACTACCCCCCACACCACCCCCAACCTCACTACTCCCAGCCTCACTACCCCCCACACCCTCAGCCTCACTACCCCCCACACCACCCCCAGCCTCACCACCCTCAGCCTCACTACCCCCACACCCTCAGCCTCACTAGCCCCCACACCACCCTTAGCATCACCACCCCCACCACCTCCCAGCTACCCCCACACCAGCCCAGCCTCACTGCCCCCCAGCCTCAGCCCCCCACCCCCCAACCTCACTACCCCACCACCCTCAGCATCACCACCCCACCACCTCAGCCTCCTGCCCCCCCCACCACCCTCCCAGCTCCCACCCCCACACCACCCTCAGCCTCACCCCCCCCACCCTCCAGCATCACCACCCCCACACACCACCCTCAGCCTCACTACCCCACACCCTCAGCACCACTACCTCCACACCACCCCAACATCACCACCCACCACCACCCTCAGCCTCACTACCCCACACCACCCTCAGCATCACCACCCCCAGCCTCACTACCCCCACACAACCCTCAGCATCACCACTCCCACACCAACCTCAGCATCACCACCCCCAGCCTCACTACCCCCCACACCACCCTCAGCATAAAGTTATGCCAGTGCTAGGCACCTCCTAACACCATAGCAACTTTATTCCAATAAATGGTATACATTAAAAAGTCTTCTCTCGTATATATTAAATATCTAGAATTGGCAATTGATAAGGTGGTTCTCATGAATAAAAATAGCCAATATAAAATGAGGTTTAAAAATCATGTAGTAACTAGTGATGTCCCGAACGGTTCGCCAGCAAATAGTTCCTGGCGAACATCGTGTGTTCGCGTTCGCCACGTATGGCGAACATATGCACTCTTCGGTCCGCCCCCTATTCGTCATCATTGAGTAAACTTTGACCCTGTACCTCACAGTCAGCAGACACATTCCAGCCAATCAGCAGCAGACCCTTCCTCCCAAGCCCTCCCACCTCCTGGACAGCATCCATTTTACATTCATTGTGAAGCTGCATTCTTAGTGAGAGGAGGGACAGTGTAGCTGATGCTGATTTGATAGGGAAATTGATAGCTGGGCTAGTGTATTCAGTGTCCACTACAGTCCTGAAGGACCCATCTGATCTCTGCTGTAAGGACAGCACCCCAAAAAGCCCTTTTTAGGGCTAGAACATCAGTCTGCTTTTTTTTTCTGTGTAATGTAATTGCAGTTGCCTGCCTGCCAGCCTGTGTGTCAGGCTCACAGCATATACTGTGCCCACTTGCCCAGTGCCACCACTCACTCACTGGTGTCACAATAGCTTGCATTTAAAAAAAAAAAACTTTTTGACTGTAATATAATAGCAGTCAGTTTCCTTCAAGTGTGCGTTTCAGGGCCTGCCCAGTGCCACCACTCACTCACTGGTGTCCCAATAGCTTGCATTTAAAAAAACAAAACTGAGGGGTGGTGAGGCTGGGGTGGTGAGGCTAGTGTGAGTGAAGGAAGAGGACTGTGTAGTGAAACTGAGAAGTGGAGTAAGGGAGGCTGAGGTGGTATGAGAGTGGGAAGGCTGATGAGGGGAGGACTGAGTGGTGAGGCTGAGGTGGGGAGGCTGGTGAGCTGAGTGGGGAAGGTGGTGAGGCTGGTGGGAGGCTGGGTAGTGAGTGAATGGGGGGAGGCTGAGGGTGGTGAGGGAGCCTACCTTTTCTTCCCTGGTGGTCCAGTGGCCACTTCTTCCGGTCTGCAGCTCCACAGAGCTGCAGACCGTGTAATATCGCGAGTCCATCAGAGCGTTGCCATGGTAACCTGCGGCAACGCTCTGATTGGCCAATTCTCGCGAGACACATGGTCTGCAGCTCTGCTCACTGCGGAGCTGCAGACCTGTGTCTGCGATGGTGGGCGGGCAGCCAGGAGGGGCCTCGCACCCGGCAGCATACCGGGCAAGCCGCCGGGTCCCCTCTTGGTGTCAGGTCCTCGGTCACTGACCAAGGACCTGACACAGTCTGCCATAAGGCGGTTTAGGCGGCCGCGAGGCCCCAGCCAGCACGAGGCCTTAGGCGGCCGCCTAAACCGCCTAATTAGAGAGCCACCTCTGTTTGCGGTTGTTTGCGGTGCGTTAAATGGGGAGTTTGGTCTGTCACTGTGAAGCGGGCGTAACCCTTACACTACCTGATCGATACAACATCATACCTGATGTTTTAAAGCATGTTATTCCAAACAATTTAGGAATGTTAAGTGATTTATGCCCTTTATGGATTAAAACCAGACTCTGCATCAACTATGTAATTTTCCATGGGAGTTTTGCCATGGATACCCCTCCGGCATGCCACAGTCCAGGTGTTAGTCCCCTTGAAACAACTTTTCCATCACTATTGTGGCCAGAAAGAGTCCCTGTGGGTTTTAAAATTCGACTGCCTATTGAAGTCTATGGCGGTTCGCCAGTTCGTGAACATTTGCGGAAGTTCGCATTCGCTGTTCGCGAACCGAAAATTTTATGTTCGCGACATCACTACTCCTGAATCATCAGGTGGTAATTGTACTGTAATGTTCCAAGACTGTAACACTTTAATTCCATCTTCTGGTGACAATATCACTTTAGTTGTTCAATTCCTTGTAGCTGTCAGCTACCAGGAATCCCCATCTATAATTTATACTCTAGTTTCTCAAGGCTTGTGTAATATTTTTGAATTCTCTTCTTTTATTCATCATAAAAACTGAAAGGTCTTGGAATAATTGGATATTTGCATATTTTGTTTTTTTCTTTCAACTTCGCGAAGGAGCGGTTTGCTGCCATAATTCTTGCCTTAGATGAAAAAAATGGATTCTAACAATGGCATCTCTTGATGTTTCAGGCGGAGCTTTCGGACTTTTGGGAAGTCTGTGAATCCTGTCAATTATTATTTCAGGTATAGGTATGTCTTGAATAATACAAGCAAGATAGGTTTTGAAGTAATCTTCTAAATTTATTGCAGGAACTGAATCAGGTATTCCTCTTATTTAAATATTATTGATGCGGGAACGATCTTCAATATTTGCTAGTTTGCTTTGAAGAGATTCTATTTGTTCTTTCATCCTGCTCTGTGATGCAGTTACAGAGTTATGTGCTTCTATGATGTCATCCAATTTAGTCTCCAATTTATCTGTTCTTTTTCCCAGATCATGTAGAGATTTTTTTAAGTTCCTCAGTTAACTGTGTTATATCCAAGTGTAAGTCTTTCCTCAGTTCTTGCATTATCAGTCTCATTTTGTTCAGAGTCTAGTAAAGCCATTGCGGAGAGGTCAGTCCCTATTTCTTGAACTTCTTCCTGTTGTGAAGCATAGCTTTGTGCACTTCTGTTCCTTCATGGGTCAGATATTTGTGTAGCTTTGTTTGTGCTTTCCTTCCTTTACCACTCGGCATTTTCTCCATTTCTTTTCCGTCTTTCCTCCTTCCTCCTTCCTCTTCCTCCCCCCTATTTTTCAGTTTCCTTCTCTCTCTTGTTCCTTTTAAAAAAAATGTTCTTTAATTCTTTTTCTTTCCTTTCTCTTTTTTCCTGCCTTAACAACTTTATTATTGGTGACCAATTCTCACACTGGGACAAAATGTAAATCTCCTATCTCCCACTCAAAATTGTTTTGACTGCTGCTGGCACTTGATAATAGCTAGGTACACCTGCAAGCCAAGGTTAGTCTCACACCCAGGCTAGACACATTACTGAACACATTACTCTCCCCCCAAAAAAAGGATTTTCTTTTACCAAATAGTTAACAAAATAAATGAAATGACCACTGTATATTGGTAACCTTGTCTCACAGTATAATCAACTGTAATCAACAAAAACAAATATCAATCTCCTATTCTCCACATGTTGTTTCAAGCACACCATGTAGTTGCTGGCTATTTTTTTTTTTTTTTCTGGTGCCAGGAATGGCACTGACTCACAAATCAAAACATGAATGTTCCGGCATTCACTAATTGGCTTCCTTGAGATTCTGGCAAATGGCAGTCCAGAAATCAGAATTGGGGCTAATTTCCTGATGACTAATAGCACCACTGGAAGGGTTAATTTGCCTGCTGTGGGAAATATGTCATATATCAGATAGTCAGATGATACCCTGCTACAACACAGGTCTCTTTCATTTTGGTATGCTAATCTACAATTAGCAGTCAGAAGTCAGATTCTTTGCTAAACATGCAACAACAAAAAATAGAAAAGAACTGCAAACATGGCTAGTGTACCTTAAGCAATTTTGGAGTTTAGGAAAGTCGGATATTCTAGATCACAGATGTGCCTTGTGGTATTTTTGGAATGGAGAAATTGAGTCAATTCCACAGATGTAAAAATGATTTCTATGACTGACGTCCAGCAAGAAATAGGAACTCATTTATAAACTCTCTTCTAGATTGATGTTTAAATAGATGGGAGGTGAAATCAACCTAGAATTCCTAAAGTCACATCTAATCTCCACCCTGTTCCTTCTTTGGGGCCAGCTTATACACACTGTGTATATTTTAGGTCATAATAGACTAAAGTTGAGCAGACACCTGGATGTTCGTTTCCGGCGGGTTCGGCCGAACTTTGAAAAAAGTCCGGGTTCGTGATCGAATTTGATTCCGAACTTGACCCCGAACCCCATTAAAGTCAAGTTCCCGGAGGAGATCACCCAGCTCGTCATGCTAGAGCACTTTTTCAATGTGCTCCCCAACGAGAAGGCAACGACTCATTCGTATGTCAATCCATATCAACTTTCGATGCCATTGACTGCGCCTACCATGGTGACCACGGGTAATGGGGAATCAGGGTTCGATTCCGTACAGGGACCCTGACAAACGGTTACCACATGCAAGGAAGGCAGCAGGCGTGCAAATAACCCACTCCCGCCGCGGGAAGGTAGTGACGACAAATAACAATACAGGACTCTTCAGAGGCCCTGTAATTGTAATAAGTTCACTTGAAATCCTTTAACTCTGATCAATTTGAGGGAAGTCTGGTGCAGAGCCACTGACCCGTGCGTGCTGCAGCTGAAACTCCACTATCGCCTGCTGCTGCTCAAACAGTCTCTCCAGCATGTGCAAGGTAGAGTTCTACCTTGTGGGCACGCCGCATATGAGGCAGTGAGTGGGAAGGCCAAAGTTACACTGCAGCGCAGACAGGCGAGCAGCAGCAGGGTGAGAATGCCGAAAGCGTGCACAGTCGCTACAGTGAATGTCATATCCTGTTCCAAGTTGCGGATCAGTCTGGTGATGGCTTCTGGTATCCAGTACTCTTTTTACTGAAGCTGCATCAGGGTCCTGGTATGTGGCTGCACAAATGCTGGTGCTCAACACCAGGGGGTGTGCGGTTACCCTGAACCAGACCCTGCAAATCCATTCCACACTGTGACTCCTAACTTCAACATCAGGCATACTGGGTCCCGGTCGTCCGACCGCCGCCCAGACAGTGTCTGGGTCCCGGTCACCGGACTGTGAAACTGCGAATGGCTCGTTAAATCTGTTATGGTTCCTTTTATCGCTCCATCTGTTACTTGGATAACTGTGGGAATTCTAAAGATAATACATGCCGACGAGCGCTAGGGGACTGCCGCTCCACTTTTGCACCCTGCTCCCTCTTATGCTGTGCTGGTGCCTCTGTGAGACCAGCGCCTCTTCCTCCAAACTGCACACGTCACTCGCATGACCTTGATTCCGTGTGGGGTCTAGGACCTCATCATCCTCCACATCATCTTCCACCCACTCCTAAACCCTGCCCTCCTTGCCGGCATGCACACTGCAGAAAGCCACAGCAGTTGGCACCTGTGTTTTTCCAGCATGTAAAGTCAAACATGTGAAATTGTTTTAGAATTGTATCCAAGCAACAGTTTTCCCTATAAACTAACCTCTCTTTGACTCGTATTGCCCTAGAATTACAAAATTGTTTAAGTACCTCTTAGCTATTGATAACAGGTTTAAATATAGCAGCTTGTTATCTGGTAGTTTCTAGTGTAGAAAATATCAATCTGTTTTCTATCACTTAGATCTGTGTAACAAGTGTTGTAGGTGTGAAACAATACCAATGTATTAAATTCGAATCAAAGTTATGCTTCGATTTGACTCTCAGATATGAAGTGCATGCCCCAAAATGTACTATTTAGCAGATTAGCACCCAGAAAATGTGAATGTTTACAAGTGCGCTGTAAACGCACTATTAGACGCTTCGATTTGAATCTCAGATATGAAGAGCAGGCCCAAAAATGTACTATTTAGCAGAGTAGCAGCAAAACAATTAGAATGTTTACAACTGCGCTGTAAACGCACTATTAGATGCTTTGATTTGACTCTCCGATATGAAGAGCAAGCCCAAAATTTACTTTTTAGCAGATTAGCACCCAGAAAATAAGAATTTTTACAAGTGCGCTGTAAGCACTCTATTAGACTCTTCGATTTAACTCTCAGATATGAAGAGCAGGCCCAAAAAATGTACTATTTAGCAGATTAGCAGCAAAACAATTAGAATGTTTACAACTGCGCTGTAACCGCAGCATTTGACACTTATATTTGACTCTCAGATATGAAGAGCACGTCCAAAATGTACTATTTAGCAGATGAGCACCCAGAAAATTAGAATGATTACAACTGCGATGTAAGCGAACTATTAGACGCTTCTATTTGACTCTCAGATATGAAGAGCACGTCCAAAATGTACTATTTAGCAGATTAGTACCCAGAAAATAAGAATTTTTACAAGTACACTGTAAGCGCACTATTAGATGCTTCTATTTGACTCTCAGATATGAAGAGCAGGCCCCAAATGTACTATTTAGCAGATTAGCAGCCAGAAAATTAGAATGTTTACAATTGTGCTGTAACCGCAATATCAGATGCTTCGATTTGAATCTCAGATATGAAGAGCACGCCCCAAAATATACTATTTAGCAGCTTAGCACCAAAACAATTAGAATGATTACAACTCCGCTGTAAGCGCACTATTTGATGCTTCTATTTGACTCTCAGATATGAAGTGCACCCCACTAAAATACTATTTAGCAGTTTAGCACCCAAAAAATAATATGTTTTAAAAATGTTATGTGAAGGCAGTATTTGACGATTCTATTTGACTCTTGATATGAAGTGCACCCCACTAATGTACTAGTTTGCAGAATTCTTTCCTAAGCTGTCCCTCACGGCGGCAGCATCCTCTCTATACACTAATAAGACCTCATGTGCTTGCGGCGAACGCGACTTCAACTTATATATAGAGGCTGGATCACATGCTGCACTGGCCAATCACAGCCATGCCATTAGTAGGCATGGCTGTGATGGCTTCTAAGGGCACACAAGTCAAACGTTTGTTGATTGGCTGCCCTGCAGCCTTTCAAAACACTCCATTAAATCGCCGAACACCGAACTCCAACCCGAACATACGGTGAACTTTACAGTCCGGGTTCACTCAACTCTATAATAGACATCCCTTCATTAAGTTCTGCCTTTGTCTTTTAAAGAAACACATTATTTTAAATGACCTATTTTGTTATTACATAAATATTTTACAAAGGGATAACCTAAGGTGTCCCATTTATAAATTAACTTGTTGGAAACTTTTGATACTAGTTATGTAGGAGGAGTTTTTAATCATTATTTTTGCTCAAGAGCAGAGAAATAGTGATTTTTTTAAAGGGACACTAAAGTCACCAAAACAACTTTCACTTAATGTAGCTGTTTGAGTGTATTGACCATGCTTCTGACATTTTACTGCTCAATTCAATACAATTTAGGAGTTAAATCACTTTTGTTTTTGTTTCTGCAGCCCCAGCCACACCTCCCCTGGCTCTGACTGACACAGCCTGTATGAAAAAAAATGGTTTCCCTTTCAATTAGATTTAACTTGATTTTAAATGTTTTGTCTCCTGCTCTACAAATTGAACTTTAATTGCATATAGGAGGCCCCTGCAGGGTCTAGCAAGCTAACAAAACAGGAGATAAGGAATTCCAAATTTAATGGACTTTGCAATAAAAGTAGTGTAAACATTATTGACTCTTTACACAGGAAGTGTTTAGTAGGGCTGTTTAAGTCCTATGCAGGGAGGTGTGACTAAGGCTGCGTAAACAAAGTGATTTAACTCATAAATGGCAGAGAATTGAGCAGTAAAACTACAGGGACATGATCCATACACAAAAACTGTTTAATTAAGCAAAAGTTCTTTTGGTGACTATGATGTTTCGAGCATGTTTGAGGTAGTGTGATATCCAAATCTACTATACAATAAAACTGTAAAATAACATAAATTAAATGTATATGTGTATTACTGAAATGTAATTTATAATATATAATTAAGGATCCTAACATTTCAGAAATGTATTATTAAAGTGAATCAATATCCCTTGTACTCATTATTTATACTGCACAAAAATAAGACAGGAAGGGGTATTTTATAAACCCTTTAACATTTAACCCTTTATAGGGCTATAAAGGGTTAAATGTTAAAGGGTTTATAAAATACCCCTTCCTGTCTCACTGGAGACTCATGGCTGATATCGGCATATCTAATGGCTAGTGTAGGAACTCACCTATTGAGGCTTGCCTTGACGTGGCAGGTGAGCTTATATATTCAAATGGCCATTAGAATAAAACCAAAGAGCCTCCATTTTTGTTTAAACGCACATGGGGATTTAGGCCAGAGCGCAGGTAACGTTTTCTTTGTTTTTACTATGTATTTTAAGCTGTTGGATACTAAGTCACTGCTGCTGTAAGCGCGGTGCTTTATCTTTGTGTTCATATTTACACTAACCAAGATAATAATACATATTTTGCCAATACAGATTCAAGAAATGTTGTTACAAATATTTATAGTTCTATAGTTTAGCAAAGTCAAATGAAAATAATCATAGAGTTCCAACACATTGTTATAAATGTATGCATGTAGTGTGTGTGTGTGTGTGTGGGTATAAGAAGATGGAAAGGCATCGACAGCCAGATAGATGCAGTATATACTATATGCATTACGTTTGATTTGTATTAAATGATCACATTGTTTCCATCTACAAATGTGTAGCTATCACAGCATGGAGGCAGGAGAAGACAGGAACAGTGTGCTGTAACATGAAAACAAACAATAAAGCACATCACTAAACGCAGCAGTTTCAAACACCAGATAACCCATGCAATCGATATTAGTCCAGATCATCACATGAGGGCATTACTTTGTAATGGTATACTCACAGCAATTGAGCAAGAGCAAAAAATAAATAACGTAAAACAGATTGGTGTATTGTCAGTAGCAGACAGCAACGGTAACAATAATAGCAATTACGTTTTTTTTAGCAGTCATTACCAAATCTAGTTGATTTAAACAAATTCTAATGTTTATTTTAATAATCAATTGAATGCCCTGTGTTGATTCACTCAGGTTGTGCTTTATTCAATATGTTTACAAGGTTTTATAATTCATCGGGTAAACTTTGATGTTTTATATATTACACTTAAACACACTCAGCTTTTATTTTTATTTTTTTCTGGTGTAGACTATAGGGATTTTCCTATAAAACAGGGGTTTACTTGTCCAAAAGACTAAAGCAGTAGCCAAATTTACTTGCCCGTCACGACAATCTACTTCTTGGAACAAAATTGTTTCAATTAAACCAAATGTTAACTCTTTTTTGTTTTTCTTTGTGATTACCTATTCCTAGCCTTACCTGTTTAATCATTGTGGGGCATTACTTACCTCTTGCATGGGTCCTCAAGGCGACATAAATAACCTGAGCTACCAATGTGTTTTATGGCTACTTTTCTGTTTATGTAGCAAAGCAAGTAATCTTTATGACTGCATGCTACCATGCACTCATACACTGTCCCACATTCAGCCATGACTGTTGAGTATAACAACTCCCTATTATAAAATAGTGCAGCTCTCATAACATGGTATT